AGCTGGCACCAGGCCGGGGCAGAGATGCCAGTACAGCCGCAGGCCTYGGGCGCTTCCTCCCGGACACAGCTCCGTGAGGGCTGCTCCGCAAAGGGAGGTGAGCAGGAGAAGTGGTCCCGAGCTGGTGAGCCCTGACCTGCTCGAGTTCCGGGAGTCGAGCATCGCCCTCCTGAGGCAGGAGGCTGGGGAAGGAGAGAGTGAAGAGCCCAGGGGGGCGGTTTACAGCACCCTTCCTTCGGAAGGAAACGCAGATTTGAGGGTGCTGGAGGCCGCCTTCCCCCTGGTGTCCTGGGCAGCATCCTGGGCTCATCACGTCCAGAGCTCCCTCTTCGCCCTGGCCCCAGCTCGGCTCCCTCGCCGCCCCGTGCTGCCGTCCTGCCCCCTGCCTCCGCACCCCCGCCGTCCCGGCACACACCTCCCCTGCCTGAAATGTATGATGTGTTGCAGGATCTCGGGAACACCTTATCTGTCCACGACAGAGGTGGCGCGTTAATCTGGACTTGAGTCATGTCCTGTTCAATGGTGACAATACGGAGGCGTAAGGAAGTGTTCTGCTGAGCCAGGTTTATGTTTGCAAAGGTGTCTGCTGTGTGTTCCCTGCCTCGGCCCAGCACCCTGCGGGCGGGCTCCCCTTCCCAAACCTTCCTGCTCCTTCACAGCACACGGTCCCCTGAGACGGGGCTGGGAGGTATTGGCGGAGGTGGCCGTGGTGGCTGCAGGAGGAGGGACCTGCCGTGTGGCTCCATGTTCTTCCTCCTCTTGGATTTGGGAACAAAGAGGTGGGCCCAGGCAGCACCGAAGGGGTTAAAGTGACCTGGGCTCTGACATATTTGAAAGAAATATAATCAAGTTAATTCACTGCAAGGCAAATTCAGTACCTAAAGGGCCCCCATGTTAAATACAGCACTGACCTTTACCGGCTGATTACACAAAGACGACACAATTAGATTAGTCCAAGACAAAAGGTCAAGCACATTCACACTGTGACCATTTTATGCTACCTTGTGTGGGGGGGAAAAATTACATCCCGACTGGAGGGGTATGTGGGAGAGGAGGGGAATGGGGCTGCCGGGCTCTGGCCCAGCCCTTTCCTTGCCCTGTGCCTTTCTCACCGCCCTCACCCGCCAGGCAGGGTAGGAATGGGCACCCGGGCTCTGCCAGGAGCGGTCCCAAGGCTGGGCCTGGCTGAGCGGGACCTGGCGCTGCCTTGTGCTGAGGCTGGTGCCGTCGCCGCCTGGGCGGGAGCTGCAGGAGCGGCCCCGGCGCCTCCTGCTCCGCGTGGCAGGACCCGGCGGAACGCAGGGCGGGCGGGAGAGCGGCCGCGGCGGCGCTGCTGGCGCAGGTCACTGTCCCCGTCCCGCACAGCTGAGCCCTGGCGTGTCCCGGGACTCTGTGGGCCGTATGCCTGGGGTGGTGGGAGCGGCAGGAGGGCAGCGGTGAGGGCACCACGCAGCAGAGCCAGGACGTGGGGCTGTGGAGGCTGTTGGCCGCGTGGGCACRAGCGGTGCCCGGCGCCCCGGCCCTTGCGGCGCTAGCGGCTCCGCACGGGCCCTCTTGCTGCGGGAGCTGCGGCCCATGGGGGCTCCCATGGCTGATCCAGCCTTCCCCTTCGCCTCTGCGCCCACCCCGGCCTGGAGCTCCCCGTTTGAAGCAGCTCCTCCGAGGTGCCTCTAATCTCCCCGCCGCCGAGTTACGTGGCAAACCCGCTGCGCGCGCGAGCACTGCTCATCCGTGGCACTGCACACGCTGGATTAAGCCTGGATTAGCTCAGTCTCCAAACCAGCTGCTCCTCCAAAGCCAGGTTTGTTTCCCCGGGGGGCATCTTGCTCCAGGTGTCGGAGGGCAGAAGCGGCAGTCGCGCTAGGAGCCTGACTGCGGGCAGCCGAGCTTCCCTACGGGAATGCSCTTACGGAGTGAGGTGGCGCCGGGCCCGGTGCTGCTGGCTCTGGGAGCCCCCCAGGCCGTGTCCCCACAAGCAGCGTCTCCAGCTGGGTCCCCGCCGGCCTGGGAAGTGGCCGCAGTGCAGGGCTAAGGTAAGGAAGGGTGCCCCGGGAGAAGGGGGCGGCAGCGCCGAGCCCGGCGCCGCGCTCTGCCCCGCGGGGCCGCGCGGCCGCTCGCGCAGCCCCCGGCGCCCGGGCTGCTGACCCCGCCGGGGACTCTGCTCCGGGCCTCCGGGAGGTGAAAGGTGAGACCAACTCGGAACAAATTAGTCCCGAGCAGAAGTTCAGCCAGTTACTCCAGATTGGATCCTTTGATTTGTGCAACTCAGACTCCACTCAGTGATCTGTAATGAGTGACTCTCAGAAATCCTCACATTGCAGCACTTTGTTCCTGAGCTCACAAGTCAGCCCATTAATGGGTAAAGGAAAAGACCTTGAGTCTAAGAAGTCTCGGGTTCAGAGTCAGAATTATTTGACTTTTAAGCTTCCTTTATCTGAACTCCTGCTGACTTCTTGTTTTCTGAGCCTTTTTGAAAGCCAGAAGTTACATTGTTAAGATCAAACATTCTCYCTTTCCAGATGGAGTTACAATATCTGTCTTTTTTATATATATATATATATTTAATATATATATAGTGTATATATACCAGGGTGTATATATATTCCTCTCTTTTTTAATCGTTCTTCCCATTAAAAGAAACTAGACTTGTAGGCTCTTGTAAATTATAATGTAAAACATTTTTTTTAACCAGACAGTTCCCAATTTTGCCCAAGGCAACTGGAATAGCTGCGCCACAGAAGGCAATAGGAAGGTGATTAATATGAATTTGTGACATATTTGAAAGATGGGTCTTTTGCCATATAAAGATTATCAAACACATGTGCTCTTCCCCATTAATTCCCCAGCTTTCCCAGGAAGGCTGCAGAGCCCAGCTCCTTTGTTTCCAGGGTGGGTTTTTGTTTTTTTAAATGTACCTTTCGGTCCCCTTGATTACCATGTATTCGATTTTTATAGGGCATCTGTTGGCGCTGTTGTGCGCGCTCCCTGGCCCTTTTATTTCCCTGTTAAGGGGATGGTGGGACGGCAGCCGTGCCAGCTCCTCTGGCGAGATCCCGGTGCGCTGTGTTTGACTTGCGGCCGTGCAAATTCCACACCGTGTTTGCCGGCTGCGCGGTGCCCGGCGGATCCGGGAGCTCCCGCCGTGTGTGGGTGAGACGGGAGCGGGGCCGGGCCGGGCACGGGCCCTCGGGCAGCCCTACGGACAGACAGACGTATAGGGCTGCTCGCATGTACACAGAGCTGCTCTCGTGCAGCTCTACATACTTACACACACATAGGGCTGCTCTCATGTATGCACAGAGCTGCTCTCGCGAGCCACTTTGTTCTGGCGGGTTTTTCTCTCAATCCGCCAGATTTCGGTGTCCCTGTGAACCCAGAACCCGCCACTCACACCYGTGTCCTTAGCCCCGCAGGGCCCGGGGGCAGCGGGGGAGCAGGCGCCGGCATCTGGGCTCCCCGGCAGAGCAACCGCAGCACTGGGCGCCCCGCGCCCTCCTCCACGGCGGCCGCTGCTGCCCCGCTCCAGGCTCGGGGCTCTCCGGCACCTCGGGGTGCTCCCAGCCTGGGCTCCCACGCGCTGCCTCCCGCGCGCCTGCCGATCGATGCGCCCGGACGTTGTCCTCTGAGTCACATTCGCGCCTGCAGGAGTAAAGGGCAAAGGCCAAGTTCTTAGTTTCCATAGAAAACTAATTAGACGACTCCATCAAAAATAGGTCAATAAACCCAACGGGGGCTGCACGCAGGGAGCCATTCAACCCCCCCACATCTCTGCTTGGAGCAGGCAGGCTGGGCTGCCCCTTCCCCAGGGAGCTCCGCACGTCCCACGGGCGGCAGAGCCTGTCCTGTCACCCAGGCTCCGGGGGACCTGCTCTGGACACGGGGCCGCGGGTGCCCGTCCGTCACCACGAGCCCTCCGGTGCTGCGGGGCCGCCCGCTCGCCGTGGCCCTGCAGGGCCCCAGTGCTCCTGGTACCCGCCGGGCCCCCCAGCTCGGCCCCCCGCACCCACCCTCCTGCCCCGCAAACACTCGCCACGCGTGGGCACAGCCCGGGCTCCTTTACCCCCAAACTTTATTCATGTGGCACATTTACAGCAAGGATTGGAATAACTAGACAATGAAAATGCTGGGTTTGCATTATCGGTTGGTTTAACTGGAACACCACACACCATGCAGTCATGTACCGCCAAGTTCAGTGCCTGTATTGCCCTTCTGGCTGCCGTCACCGGCCTCGCTCCAGGCCATGCACGCACGGGCCCGGGGCTGCAGCCTCCCTGCAGGTCAGCGCCCGCACGAGGGCTCCATTCAGCAGGGCCCCGGGTGACAGGGGGGGGACGCGCGCGCCCCCCGGGACCCCCCGGCCGCAGGGCACGTGCTCGGCACCTCTCTCAGGCAACAAGCGTCCGCGGGGAGCGGC